GTACAATAATGCTTCTCAGCTGCATCATTTTGTTGAGGCATTCACAAATATTATGCCTCTCATAGAGTTTAGCAAATAGACTTGTGCTTTGCACTATCTTTATGATTTTCACATTTTTATTTAATTGACTTTCGTCCTTGATAATATACACATCAATGGTGTCCATTTACTAAAGATCTTATATGTAATAAGTAAACAAAATCATAAAGTGAAAATTTATCTATAAAAATGATAAAATAATTTTATTTACCAAAAATGAAGTGCCAAAAGGACACATTAATGTTTATTTGGGTAATATCAAGAAGCCCTTTATATGTTGTGATACTTTACTTAATGTGATTAAATTGTTTTTTCCTTAATGTAACCCATACTCTCACTAAAAGCGATAAAATCTAAATTTAAAATAATCTCATATTTACTAGTTTTTATAACTTTTCTCAGAAAAAAAAAAATAGTATAATCTTTTATGCCACAAGTTTTAAGAGTTTTCATTTATCAAGTTATATTTAGGACCAACATAATGGTGCAAAATAAATTAAAATTTTGAAAAATCATTAAATTTTAATTTATACAAACCATTATAAATAATACCAAAATTAACAAAAGAGGTATTTTCAATAAATTAAAATTTTATTCTAAATTTTGAAAATAACCATCAAGGTTAATTAAATTTGGACAAATCAAAAAATAATTTTCAAAATTAGAATGAACATTGTTTTTTTTTTTTGAAATAAAGTCTAAATAATGACCAATGTCTAAAAATAAATAATAAGTTCCAATAATTTCAATTGAAATTTTAACATAATCGGTTTGAAAATAATCTTGCATTCTTGCATCTTCAATTTGTGCTCTAAATGGAAATTCTTCTAGTGCTTCCATGCAATTTGTTTCCATTTGGATGTCTCTCCACCCTTTCTAAAAAAAGAAGGTTAATCCTCTATAAATTTCTTAAATCTTCGTTTCAAGACTGTTTACGCTAAGTTTGCTAGTGAAACAATCATCTCTGAAGAGGCCGCCAAATCCTTCTTTGCTAACCCTTTTTTTGCACTCCCATCCGTGTTTAGCTTTAGCATCCCTGCAGATGGGCAACACTATATATATTGGCTATTTCTGTTGAGCAAAACGTCCCGAGTTTGTAATCTTGCGGTGTTTGGATAGGTAGTATTTTTAGTGTCCTAGAGTGATTGAGTTCATCACATCAAGAGATTCTCTTTGACAAATGTTGCGGTTCCATTGCTTGAAAGGCATATGACTCGGTTCGAACCTATGCACAACATTGTTTTCATCTCTCTTTTAGGCACCAACCCATTTCTAGGTCTTTACTTATTTGTTCTTCAAGCCTCTTTTTCATAAAGTTTTTGTAAAGATTCTTAGTTCTTGCTTGATTGAGCTTTATTTATAATAGCTCAATTCCTTTGTGCTTGATCAAAACCTCATAGGAGCTCAAGTCTTGAGATCTTGAAAATTGTGCCTGTTGTGAACTTCGCAGAAGCTTGAGTGTCTGAGTTACTAGGGCTAATGCTTGACAGGTGCCCAACATGGGCTCAAGCGCTTCAGTTGTTGGGACTAGCGCTCTTGTCAGCTTGATGTGAACTCGAGCGCTATCGGCGCACTTTTGGTCCATTTTATGACCATTTTGCCCCTAAATTGTTTTAAAAGATATTTCTTCATCATTTCTTGATAAAAGAGACCGTTACACTTTTTTAAGAATCATTTTCTCTCTCTACAAATCCTTTTATACTTTATGATTTTTTTTTTTATCTGCTTAAATCATAATAGCAGTAAATTTCTCAAATAATAACACTAAGTCAAAATTCATAATATTGAGACAAAATTGAACTTGTTCTATTCATTTTGACAAATCTTTTTCATTTAAAATCGAAACAAACAAAATATACAAATATAGCGAAATAAAACTTTAATCAATCATTCATGCTCACTACATTAATACTAAAGAGTAATCAATAATTGACAATTGGTCAAGATAAAAACATGTTTGAACAATCACAAATAGTATTACCGTGATTTACCTTTGGAATAATCTAATGGCATACTATTTAACAATTATGGTGATTTCCTTTCTGTCACGCCCCAGATTTACACGGTTCAACTCACATAAATAAACCACCCAACGATGAATAATAGATAATAACTTTCATGCAAATGAATATAATATAGTCACACAATACATGTGTTTATCCAATTTTATACATTCCTAGATATAACATCTAAGTATAATGGATGTTTTGTAACTAAAAACATACACAGATGTTACATATAGTATTTATTTCTATGCTTGCAAAGCAATATAAAATCACATATGATCCGAGTCATAAGTGGAAATAAGTGTAATGCTCATTGTTTTTTTTGTGTATTAAAAAACCCTCATTTTTATATTTTAAAAATTAACATTTTAATTTGTTTCTCGTATAAATGTTTTTAGAATATCTTGATCTTAAGGGACTTCGAAAAAATACTACTATATAAACAAATGAAAAAAATCTACAAAACTACATGTTTGCTTAGACTATGAATGTTTGAAATAATATAATGGGGCAAAACTTACAAAGTAGTATGAGAATAATTTTTTATAAAAAATTTTAATTGAAAAGAAAATTCCACATAATGATTCAAATATCATTCTTTAAAAAGGTTTTGTCAAAACTGTGATGTGAAAGTCCCATTAGAGAACTAACCTCTTTTCAGGTGTAAACGACAGTACATAAAAAAGTTCAAAGATATGAAGTATTTTGCCCTCTCATAAATAACACCAAGCAAATTTGTAACTAGCAGAGGTGTCTTTGTTGGTCAGGTGGATCCTCCATGACCACAGGTTTTCATTTTGTTCCATTTGTATCTTTGCCACAGCATTTGCACAATGATTTGACTATCTAAAGATGTGATTGACGCAGGATCCAGTCATTTGAAACAAAAATCTTGCATCTTCAATTTGTGCTCTAAATGGAAATTCTTCTAGTGCTTCCATGCAATTTGTTTCCATTTGGATGTCTCTCCACCCTTTCTAAAAAAAGAAGGTTAATCCTCTATAAATTTCTTAAATCTTCGTTTCAAGACTGTTTACGCTAAGTTTGCTAGTGAAACAATCATCTCTGAAGAGGCCGCCAAATCCTTCTTTGCTAACCCTTTTTTTGCACTCCCATCCGTGTTTAGCTTTAGCATCCCTGCAGATGGGCAACACTATATATATTGGCTATTTCTGTTGAGCAAAACGTCCCGAGTTTGTAATCTTGCGGTGTTTGGATAGGTAGTATTTTTAGTGTCCTAGAGTGATTGAGTTCATCACATCAAGAGATTCTCTTTGACAAATGTTGCGGTTCCATTGCTTGAAAGGCATATGACTCGGTTCGAACCTATGCACAACATTGTTTTCATCTCTCTTTTAGGCACCAACCCATTTCTAGGTCTTTACTTATTTGTTCTTCAAGCCTCTTTTTCATAAAGTTTTTGTAAAGATTCTTAGTTCTTGCTTGATTGAGCTTTATTTATAATAGCTCAATTCCTTTGTGCTTGATCAAAACCTCATAGGAGCTCAAGTCTTGAGATCTTGAAAATTGTGCCTGTTGTGAACTTCGCAGAAGCTTGAGTGTCTGAGTTACTAGGGCTAATGCTTGACAGGTGCCCAACATGGGCTCGAGCACTTCAGTTGTTGGGACTAGCGCTCTTGTCAGCTTGATGTGAACTCGAGCGCTATCGGCGCACTTTTGGTCCATTTTATGACCATTTTGCCCCTAAATTGTTTTAAAAGATATTTCTTCATCATTTCTTGATAAAAGAGACCGTTACACTTTTTTAAGAATCATTTTCTCTCTCTACAAGCTTGATAGCTTGTTCATTCCATTGATGAGTCCTGTCTAATATTCAATCTAAAATTTTGAAGTATGACTTGAAATAAATTGTTTTACTTGGATTATTTTTATTTACACCAAAACCTTCACATATCTTTTCATATTTCTATAACACCATGGCCGATGAGCATTGGAGCCTTTGAAGACGGAGATCAAAGCGAAGAGCTTCGTGGTTGCTATTGAATCAACGGAAGTTGACATTGTGAAAGCCACTTTGGAGCAGAAATTAAGTTTGTTGAAGCTTGTGGTGAACTAATTCAATGGTTTAGGTAAACTTGAGTAAAGTTATAATTCCTTCATCTTGAGTATTATGACTGTTTGATTTATTAGTGAATTTGCTTTCGGTGTTGAGATCGTGATTTTCATCCTGTAGGAGAGTTTTTCTATAGAGTTTCCACGTAAATTCTTGAGTCTCATGATTGATTGCCAGGTGGTTGATTAAATGACTCAATGGATGAATTAATGGAGTAGATTATTCCATTGATATATTGGTTGCTTGATTAATTGATTGGTTCATAAACAATATTCTAATTTATATTGAAATCAATTAATTACTTGGTAATTTTACAATTGGCGTTATTTGTTAAAATTGGCCTATTTACCCCCCTGTGGGCACAATTCCGTAGGAATTTGATTATTCTATTTGTTTGGCAAATTAGCTTATGAATGCAGTAAGATTTAATAATAGAATTATTAATGTGATAATATTAGATTAGAGATGCAAAATAAAATGTTTGTTGTACTAGCGTGTTATTAATTGGTTAAGATTATCTATGAAATTATGTTGAAGTTCTCATTGTATAAAATGCAACTTTGTCACAAGATTAGATTAACAATCCCACCCTTCCATAGAAATGCTAATCCCATGTGTGCAGATTTATAGTCCGATTCCACTTTTGCCAATTAAACACGATTTACATAAAGTTCATAGAATTACTAATCCAATTTTCTCATCTATGGAGCGAAACAAACATGGCCTAATAGACAGCTCTATTCAATATGTCATCCAATTAAGAGAACACATGAGAGGCCTCCATGTTTAATATGCAAGTGTCTGCAAGGTTGATGGAAAACCCACAAACAATGCAGTTTAGTGTTGAAAAACAAAATATATAAGCTAACTATGGATCGATGATGATATTGATGTAATACCATAAAAATTGCCAAAAGGAACATGTGAAGCAAAATTTTATGTTCAAAGAAAACTTGCAGTGCTGACAATGATCAAATAAATAATCATTAATTGACCAAATATTTGATGCAAAGCAAATCAAGATGAAGAAACAGGCATGGTATTTACAGTCGTCCCCATGTGATGAATGACAAATCCATAGATCTTCCGCTTCAGCTGCTCAACCTTTCTTGTCAGGAGTTCATTCTGTTTTGACACCATGCGATCCAACCAGTCGTTGACTCGCTTTAGCTGTGATAGCACTGCAGCAATTGGGCCACAGTCGAGTCCACCATCAGAATTACACTTCCCAAACACTCGGAAACCAGCATCCAAGGATTCCTCAACAAACCGTACAAACCACATTTGCATCTCTGATTGCAAATTCATTCCAAGTTCCACAGTTTCATTCATTCCATGGCCCCTTATCCATCCTTTGCCAGTAGCATCTGAGGGGAGTGATGGAGCAATTGTATTCGTCTGGTTTTTAGAAGGTGCATTGAGAGAGTGCCGTTTTGATGAACTTTTCTGCAGTGTTGGCCGAGGAGACTCAATTTTTTGGTCGGTTAGGAGAGAGACAATTTCAAGATCTGTGGCCAGAGCTGCTTCTACCCAAAGAGAAACGGATTTTGAATGCTCTGTCAGGATATTGTCAGTATGATGAGGGACAGAACTTCGGTTAATTGCAATTGATTCAGCAGTTGATGTTGATTTTACGACTTCATCATAGATTGACATGAAGCGGTCAATGGTGGGTAAAGGATTTCCTGCCTTTGATGTAGAACAAAGATCTGAAAAAATGCTGAAATAGAAGGCATAAAAAATCATGCTCATGTCGAACTGTAAAAATGAGTTGTACAAGTTCAATTTTTTATGTCAGTGTCACCAGATGCTGGTGAGGAGTGAACTTTAAGCAAGTCCTCAACACTTCGAATAAGACAATGGATTCAAGCTCAGAAGCAGCTAAAGAACTTAGGTTTTGTTCTCCATATACACAGACGTATCAACTGAGCTACCTCACATCCTAATAATCATCAGACTATGTTTCAAATTGTCTGCCACATCATATTAGTTATCTAACACTAACACTATATCCCCAATACCTAAAAGACATGTTTGTGCGAGAAAGAGAGAGACAGAGAGAGAGAGAGAGAGAGACAGAGAGAGAGAGAAACAATGAGGCACGTGTGTACGGGGATTGGTAGGTATGAGTATATTGATACAGTAAAACGAAAATAGCGAGATATCGGTATGGGTGCTTATGTTTGTAAAAAATATTTATTTTTAATTTAGAATAATGTAAAATTAGTTAAATTGTTTAATTGGTTTACAAGCCACAGTTTAATGACAAAATAAAGGTATAAACTGAAGTTAAATGACATTATATTGAAGAAAGTACAAATCAAAGTTTAATTTTAAAATCATACTAAGTATAGAAAAAAGGCCAATGAATCTAATTTGACAAGCAGAGGAAAAAGAAAATATTACTCTAGTTGAGGTACCACTGGGTACAACAAAAATTAAGAAAAAAAAATGTGCTTCTTGTACCTAGTACATAATATAAAAGTATCATGCAAAGTACCAATACCCAAAATGTATCCGGTATGGGTAAAACATGTTTTTCCAAGTAACCATGCTTCATAGAGAGAGAGAGATTACCTTAAGCTCCTTACAATAGACTCGGTGACAATGGCCTCTTCCAAAGCTTCAGCTGCAGCTGTAGAAGCAAGAGCCTTCCTCTGCATAGCTTCCTGCATTGGATCAGCATATAAAAACCAGAATTCAGGCATCAAATGACACAAAGGAATGATTTGACTAAATGTTTCTGTTTTTAACTGATTTTGATGGTAATCGTTGCTGAGCTTTCCATAAGTACCAAAGTTGGTAGATGTAAGTTCTAGTTCAATTCTAGCCAATTAAAGAGAAATGATAATCTTCATGTTTACCTTTCCTAGCTTTGCAAGGGTTGCAGAGACTGCATCCAATGGAATACTGCCATCTGTCCATTTCTTTTCATGAATAGTGATTCCAGAAGCCGCACATATTGGCTTCTCAGTCACCAAACCACCTTCAGTCAAGCTAGATTTTGCTTTCTCTCGGGTTTCAGAATCATCTCTATTGGGTTTTTGACTATCCACATCACTTAGACGCCTAGAAATAGCAGCCTGGAAAATTGAATATTGAAAGAACAAACAATTAAAAACAGTAGCACATATTTTTATTCTATTAGGCTGAATAAAACTACACAAAAATGAGTAAAAGAAAGAGCTAAAAAAAAAAAAAACAACGCCCAATTAGTACACATTAATGTGTGTTTGGGAGGGAAAAGATTGAGTACACACCTAACCTTTAGCATAATGCACAAAGTGGTGGCCCCAAGACTTGAAACCATAACCTTAAGGTTATTAGGCCAAGTCTTAACTATTGGTATGTGTTAAGTAGAGCATTATCCCCAGAATTTACTAGTAAATTACTTTTTATTAATTCTACTAACTAAATGCCCACATCCATGACCTAAACAAGTACTTGTTACCAAACTAGTTGTTATGATGACCAACCAAATCCGAACACATCTCAATCACATTTAACTTTTAAGAGGGTTATATCCAACATACCATATATCACTGCCCCCAACCCTAAACTCTAAAATGTTTTACACAGTTAGAAATTGCTACTTAGAATACAGTGGCAGGACATGATTAAAACCTAATTAAAATTGCTGCAGTAATTAAGTTCAGTAGTTACAGATACTACATATGGTTGCCTTTGTATAGTCAAATTATGCGGTGTTTACATGGAAGAGCTGGAGTCTATGTCTATCCATTGAAACTCACTTGTGTTCAAACTTTTCTTTCATTCTTTCAGTTAATGCAATTCTCTGTAAATATTAAGAAGACCAATGCAGACATGATATTATTACTTTCAACCAGTTAGTAATGGTATACACTAATATCATAGGGACAGAGTGTTGAAATATTAAGTACACTAATACCAGTTTAGTGTATTCTGTGATCAATTATTAGATTTCATTTATGTTGGGGATATTAAATTGAGTATGTAAAATGGTGCATCAATTTTTTCATCAAATTCAAATCTAATGAAAAAATGGCTAATAGTATACTCCAACCATTTCATCAAATCTATATCAAATCAAGGGACAGCCAATTTTTTCACTAAATCAAGGATGAATCAAATCCTTCACTAATCATATTTTTACTTAAATTTGATGAAATTTTAAAGCATAAGGATTAGAGATGGTTTTCTTTCATCAAAAACAGATAAAAACATGTATTTAGGACAAGTTTGAATTTTTTTTCAAAAAGATTGGATGAAAAAAAGAGTAAGGATTGCAGATGCTTAAAGCACCAACAAGTAAGAGCAATTGAAAAAATACATGGACTTTTGTGGCTGAAGACGACTCTCTCGTCAATTGTTCTCGAAAACCCCCTCAGCATAAGGTAAACAAAAAAGCAAGTTCTTTTTTTTCAAAAACAACAATCCACCAGATGATACAGGGGACAGTCACACTTCAAACTTAACTTTCTCATCATTTGGTCTCAGTGTTTCACTACTACCTCAGTGCCACAAACCTAAGCCCTTCTCTCAGACTATATCAAACACAGCAGTATGTTACACTCAGCATACCAACAATATAAAATCACCTATCAATTCAAAACAAATTGCTAACAAAACTTACCTGAGTTCGCAAAATTGCTTGCAAATCCAGCTTATTTTTCGTTGAACTCTTCTCTTTCTGCTCCACCACCGCTTCCGCGGTTGCCCCTGGTTCATCCCAGCTCTTCCTACTTGCCTTTGCCGACCCAACAAGTGCCTCTGAAACCTTCGATATCCCAGCAGCAATAGTCGCCATTTTTTTCTTGCTAGCCGAATCCACCGCCCCAACAACAGGTGAAACCTTAACTCCGCTAGACAATCTCCTCCCCGGAGAAACCGACAACCTCCTCGCATTCGGAGATGCCTGCCTCCGCCCATTCGGCGATGGCTGTCGATACCTTGACGGCACAATAATCGCCGGCTCCTTCGAAGTCCTCCGATTCTCCTCACGAGCTACAGCCAAGCTTGGAACCACACATTTGGACGGCACCGGAGACGCCGACCTCTTCACTTTCCCCGCCGGAGACGGATCTCTCTCCACAACAGCCGAATTCTTCTTCCCAACCGATACCGATCGTTGTTGCTTCCCAGCAGCAGGAGAAGAAAACCTCTGAGGCCTATCAGAGACCTTCGATTCCTCATTTTTCTCCAACGATACATTATCTCTTGGTGCCAGAACTCTCCTGGCACTATACTTTCCATTCATAACCTCAAATTTCGATTCCTTACCATCAATTTTCGATTCGTGAAGTTTCTTATTCGTAAACAAGGCCGCGATTGGATCGGTTGATGGATCTGAGTCTGACACAGGCTGGATCACGAACTCGCGTTTGGAGGCAGAGATTCGAGCGATGAGAGGCTCGGGAGTTCCGACGAAGGAGTGGCGGCCAGCGATGGGGCGGAGGCCGGAGGCGCGAGGGACGGGAGAGTCGAAGTCGAAACGATCGACGTAGAGGAACTGGCCGAGCTGGAGGCGGTTGGTGAGGATGAGATCGGTGTCGCGGTCGGAGAGAGAGACGTAGGTGGAGTTGAGGGAATCGGAGAGTTGGACGTAGAAGCCGTGGTTGGGCCAGAGATCGGAGCCGGCGAGAGCAGGGACGATGCCGATTAGTTGGAGGAGAGGGGAGCGGTGGTCGCCGGTGACTCTGGTGTTGGAGTTCATGGACTGGAGGAGCTTTAGCAGGATTCCTGCAGTGAGAGTCGCCATTGATGATGAGAAAGTAGGAAGAAGAATGAGAGATTTGATGAAGAAATTAGGGTTTTATTAAGAAGATGAATGCGAGAGAGAGAGAGAGAGATGAGAGAATTGCCAGAGGGATTGCGTTGGGGTCAGTAAATGATAACCGTTAGAGGGGCTTTGAATTTGAAACGCCCGCTTTTATCTCTTCTTTTTAAAAATTTTGAATTGAGACGAGAAGTGGAGAGATGGAATGTAACGGGTCCACAGCCTACCCTACAACAAATTATCACGCACGGCCCACGGGAGTAGCGAGCAACACATAGCTCGGCCTGGCCTATTTGGGCTCGGGTTTGGGTCGGTCTGGGCAGGCTTTGTAGGTTTTTATTTTTTTAGTAAGCCAGACTAGCCGGTTCATGAGCCAAAAAATGGGATTCAAACCCACTTATAATAGGGTCGAGGTTTGGGTCGGTCTGGGCAGGCTTTGTAGGTTTTTATTTTTTTAGTAAGCCAGACTGGCCGGTTCATGAGCCAAAAAATGGGATTCAAACCCACTTATAATAGGGTCGAGGACTGCGGGCCTAGTCGGGTCTTTTTTATTTAAAATAATAAATAATAAATATATTATTTATATAGATTATTTATCAGGGATAAAAAAATAAAAGTAAAATTATACTAGAATATTTTAGTTAAAATTGATGAAGACGACTCTCTCGTCAATTGTTCTCGAAAACCCCCTCAGCATAAGGTAAACAAAAAAGCAAGTTCTAAAGCATGCAATTATGTAATTTTTTTTCTTTCAAAATGAATAATTTTATATATATGAAAATGAAACTTTTAATATTATAATATTAAATTAATTATATAGCATTTATTGAATGAATAATTTTTATTTCAAAATAAAATAAAATATTACAAAAATTTATATCATTAAATAAAATAGGTGTAGATTATTGATGATGGTAGAGCAATTACATCACTATAGGTCAAGTACATCCCAACTATATTGGCACCTACTAGCCTATCAATCATTTGCATTATACTCCACCTCAATAATATAATATAAAAAAACGAAATAAAATAGTAAAAAATAAATTGATGATCAATCATTGGAGGAGACAGACATTTTGGTCGCATTGCCCGAAGATATGTTATCCAAATCATTTTGAATTCGCTTATTTTCACTATAAATTTGTCTTCTCGTAAGCGCATGCATATGATCTCTAGATATCATCAGTGCATCAACCATTTGGGGTTAAAGCCTGTTACGGTAATCACTCAACACCCGTCCACCTGCACTAAAAGCTGTTTTTGAAGCAACTGTAGAAATAGGAACGGTTAGTATATCACGGGCCATTTATGAAACCACAGGCCACATAGTTTCATTTTGTTTCCACCATTTCAAAATGTTAAAATTATTGAAATCATCCAGTGGTGAGCTTTCCAAATAACGTTGTAGTTCAAAACTACTTATGATTGTATGTTAAAATATTCTTCTACTTTTATTGCTGAAAAAACACTAATCTCCCGCCTCGAGATGAGACTGCTAGTGTAGTGTTTGTAGGTGTATTTACAGATGCACCTGTCTTGTATTCTTCAAATAATTTGTTGCATGTTTGCATAATATGGGCAAATTGTGTTTGATCAACGAAAATACGTTCTAAAAATTCTTATAAACTAATTTTTTATACCTAGGATCAATTATTATGGCTGTTACCCAAAAAGCAACCTAAGAGGTGGGTGAATTAGGTTTCTACAAATTAAAATTAATAATACCCCAATAAAATTAATTACTAGTACAACAAATTATTAACAAGTACAATGATGAATTTAGCAGTAAATGATCAAGTAAAATAATAATGAAGTATAACTAACATACAGGGTAAATCAAATGATTAACGCATGAATATTAGATAGTCATAGCAGTAGTAAGAAAGTAAAGAGATTAGGGAAGAGGAGACAAACAGATTTATAGTGGTTCGGCTTCAACCAAGCCTACATCCACTCTTCAAGCTTCACTTGAGATTTTCCACTATCTTCTAGATTCACATGGGTGCTAGCAACCTCTTTACAAATAGAGCAATCCTCAACAGATTTTACATAGACTTCACAAGCCCAAACCCTTACAAATCTTAGGTGATTCACAATCACTCTCAAGATTTCAAGAACACAGTGTTTGCAACACTTTTATAAGATGAAATGATATTTTTGCTTTCAAAGAAAGTTTACAATAAATATCTCTAAAAGATAGATATATAAAATGAAATTTTGATTTTTCTGTAAATCTCACACAGGAAATATGTACTTAAAGCTATAAGGTTCAGTGTATAATTTCTGAGAATAGATGTGAGTGATTATAGATCAAAGAATATTTTCAGATTTTTTGTAACTTGTTTACATTAGAGTTTTGGTATATATAATGAAAATTATAGCTATTTATAGTTGTTGTATTCATTTGAATTTATAGTCGTTTATAACCGTTGTACTTCCATCATTACCAATTTGAATATTTTCCACTTCATCATTACAAATTTGAATATCTTCCATTTGAACCTTTTGGCCTTTTGAACCTTTATAGCCGTTTATAGCCGTTATACTTCCATCATTACTAATTTGAATATCTTTCACTTGAACCTTTTGAACCTTTGACCTGCTGTTGTGCTAAGCGGTTTGAACCTTTATTTTGGGCTGTTTGAACTCCTGATTTAATCAAATATTAAATACATTCTAACAACATTTAGGATAAAGGTTTAGGTGAGAAATAATGGGACAAAATAAAATTTGAATATATTTTTTTCTTTCAAATAAATCATCAAAATAAATTTTGATTCTATTTTCTCTTTCAAATAAATCATCAAAATAAATTTTGATTAAAATATAATTAAATAAATCATCAAAATAAATTTTGGATTCTATTTTTCTCTTTCAAATAAATTAAAACATAATTAAATAAATCATCAAAATAAATAAGTCTAACAATCTCTCTCTTTTTTATGATGACACACAATGATGTTTTGATTTGATTTGGGAGTAACAAAGGCTTCCCCTCAAGTCATGCTCCCTGAATTCATTTATAAATACATAGGTTAGCACATATGTAATAAATAAACTTTAATAAATTTTGAATGTTATTTTTCTCTTTCAAATAAATTAAAACATAATTAAATAAATTATCAAAATAAATAAGTCTAACAATGGCTAAACCTAAAAGATAAGGCATATGATCAAAATATTTATTAAATTTTACTTTCATTGAAGTAACAATGGTTACATAATATTCATTACCCATATATTTTACAAAAATTTTAATTATTTCTGCTAACATATGTAAAACAAATGGTGAAGTAGGAATATATATATATATATATATAAAAGAAAATAATTTTGTTAAAGTATCAAAAAATTTTAAAAAATCTTTATACAAGGCTACTTGCAGCTAATTAAGTTCTTTGGGAGTCAGTACTTCTCTTATTGATATTGTTGCAAAAAATAAATCTATTGTTTTTCTTTGTTTACAAGTTCTTTATACATTGAATTCCACCTACTATTTATATTTAAAATAAATTTTTTAAATTGCATATTTTCTCGTTTATAAATTCTTTTTTATATTTCAAAATTCGATTAGTAAAAAACATAATAGTAACAACTGCATTTTTTATTACAAGAACAGAAGTCTCGTATACATGCATAGCTTCTTTAACAATCAAGTTTAAAATATAGACACAACAATGAACATGAAATAAAACACTATCAACAAGTAATTGGAAAGTTGATTTTAAATGGGTTACAGTTTGATTATAATATGTTGCATTATCTAAACTAATCGTAAATATTTTATTTTGTAGAGCTCACTCATATAATACATTTCTTATTTCTACACCAAGCGAATGACCAGTGTGTGGAAGTTCAACTAATTTAAATGAAATAATTTTTTTATTTAATTTTCAATCATTATCAATAAAATGTGCAGTGATATATTGATATTCTAAACCATTATTTGACAATAGATCAGATGTTAAACAAACTCTTTCATTCAATTTTTTAAAGATGTCAAATAATTCACTTTTAACATCCGCAATTTCTTTAAAATCATGTTTCTATTAGTATTTCTTAAAAAAATTTAATATTGCGGTACAAAACTTTCGTGAATCATTTCGGTAAAATCAGGACATTCACTAGTAGTAAAAGGTTGTTCTTTTTTAATAAAATAATCAACTACAGAATTTTATGCACGTATAAGATCATATGAAAATGTTTGTAAATTATCAATTGATGAAACCCCTAATTGCATTTGACTTCTAATATCAGGTTGTTGACTTTATAAATGTTTGTTAGCATGCCTTTTTAGATGACTAGTACCCCCTGCAGATGCAATACTAAGTAAATGTGTACAATATTTATATTTTTCTTTAAATGTAATTGTACTATCGGAATTATTTATAGATATTTTTTTAAAATGTTCCCATATACTACTAATTGTTCCCCTTAGCTGATGATCCAACTGTTGGAAGAGGGATATTAGAAGGAGAATTAACAGATTCATGTTATGTAGTATATGTATCAACATTGACATAAATATTAAGAATATTAGAATCCATAGTAATGTAAGTAAAATAATATATAAGAACTAACAGTTAATTTAAATAATGTGTAAATACAATGAATAAAAATTAATAATTAATGAAAAAAACAAATAGCTAATAAATTTAATTAAACTAATTAATATTACCAACTGGCGAATGCAATACAGAAATTAGTTTCTTTTGATAAAAGTTTCTTGTTGTACGATTGCAATTGCCACTTAAGGATGACACTTCGAAATTAATTGAGAGTTAAGAGAGATTGAAAGAGTTTAAGAGATAGAATTATTTGTGAGATTTATTTTGAAAAATGGGGAGATATTTAGGCTCCGTTTAAGAAGAGCTAGATTAGGTTTTTTTGGCTATTTTAACCACAAAAGACAAAATAGGCTATTTTAGTCACAAAAAAAAAAAAATATCACACATAACCCATAATCATTACATTCTTCTCTCACAAAAAAAGTCAAAAAAACCAAAAAGTCAAAAAACTTTTTCCAAACCAAGCTTTTTAGCCCATGCTAAAATAGCCAAAAAAATTTAAAAACTAAAAAATCAACCCACTTTCCAAACCAACCCTTATTGTAATTTGAGAT